GTCAACAAGAGGAGGAAACTGTCTTATGTAATTCCATCCTTTTGAAGAAAGGGATCTGGTTCTGTTTGACTTCCTTCCAATAGGAGAAGTATGACGTCATGGCTCTAATGAAGTCTCTGTTGATTGCATTGTAGATGAGCGGCTGCAGAGTTCTCCATTGCCATAGGTTAACATGATGGATTCGAAAGTCTCAGTGGCAGTTCGCTCCAAGTGACATGCCTTGTTTGGAAGGGCATACTTTGACTCCACAGGATAGAGGAGAGCAGCATGCTGTGGGATTGTGCACAAGACTTCAGCACTGTTGCATTGAATACCCTGCTGCAGCAGTCACACTTCATTGACATGACTATGCACCAAGATGGAGCTCCTGTGATGCCAAAGATAGGGAACAAGGTCTTGTTCTTTGACCAGTTATGCCTCTCATTCTTGAGTTTGCCAGAGCATCTACCATCAGGACAAGACAGCAATACCACATATTCCAGTCCACCAGAGGAGTTCTGGCCAACAATAGAGTGATAGTGGGGAGATTTGAATTGCTCCTCTGTGGATGGAACTGTCATGGTGAGTCCTTCAAAATGTTGGTGGAATTGTGGATTCCTTGGCTTGATAATGGATTCTGACACTGCTTCTGCCAGTGCTAGCATAGCTAGTGGTGCTCCTTTGGTCTTGTGCTTTTCGACAAAGGCATTATCCTTCACAAGAGTGGTGACCTTTCGACAGAGAGCTAGTGGAGTTGTGTTGGTTGTGTTCCTTGTGGATGTCTTCTGTTGCCGGCTCTGATTTGGTTTGGCTGTGTTCGTTCTAGCAGCGAAGAAGGCATCTCCATTCTCTCTTGTGAATGCTTCCAGCTTCCTCTCTCATTCAGTGGAAGGGAGCACTGAAGTGCCTTGTGAGTCTTCTGCTCTCTCTGATGTTTCCATTGTCAGCTCATTCAAACCTCCTCTTCCTCTTGTTACTGTATTCTTAATACAGAAGACAGATGTGATCTCTTGGGGACTCTGAGACCAAGATGTCTGGCCTTACAGATGACACAGTTCTTGAGTGGATCAAAGACTTCTGCTACCTCTCCTCCCAGAGTTGTTTGGGGTCCTTCTTCTCTGGCTCTCTTGGATCTGTTGTTGTGGTTGTGGTTGTTGGCAGCCAGTTGGTAGGCTCTCTTCTGTTGCGAGTTCCTCTGTTGACTTTGGCAGCCCATTCCTCCATTGTGAGTGGTAGCTGCTGTTGCTGTTGCTGCTGCTGTTCCGGTCATGATGGTGCTGCTTTTGGCTGAGATAATGACTGTCGAGTGGCTCTCCGGTGGTTGTTGTCATTGTGGATCGATCGATAACAACAGAAGGAATCCTTCTTTCGCGAAAACAGAAACTCGAAATTTCGAACTTGATAGCACACTGTATCCGTAATAACTATAAATGGTACGTTAAGTATATTTGAATTTCGCCGACTCATTTGCTGATGTCATAGGTTGATTAGCCAATCAGATTTCTGCCTTTCACCGCTTTCACCCTCTACCAGACTTGAATATAAGAAACTCCACTATAAGAAAGCGAGCCCTGAGATTTTAGAAAATGTTAAGAAAATCTTGATGCTGAAATTTCACAGACCTTGTAAGAAAGCTTCCCAGTATTAAGACCTCAAAGCGTAAGAAATACTACTAGTCTGACACCATGAAAATGCTTCAAACTTGTGCTTACATCTGCAAAATTTTCTGCCTCACGGCAGACACAGTGAACACCATCTCTATTTGATCCAACCCAATTTATGAGTCCTGAGCAAGTTGAACGAAAAGGTCCAGGTTCATTGGGTGTATCCAAGTTCTTCCCTGCTTGACCTAGAAGCATAGTAAGAAAGTCTTCAATGCTGAAATTGGCTTGTTTTGTTAGAAAGGAACTGAGGGTCAAAAATGGTGCTTCATGGTAAGAAAGGCCCAGGGCTGCACTGAATTTAGAGATTTCTTATATGTGAGTTTGGAGTGTAGCCAGGCCTTCGGGTTCTAACACATTCTGGCCATGACCGTGACAGCCCCAATAAGTCCAATATGGCACTACGAAGGGCAAACAAAGGATTTCGGGGGTTTAGGTGTTTACCTGGTAGGTGACTTGCTGCTCTCGGTATGCTTCGGCGTCGTTCTCACCTCAAAGCATGGGCAGCCTGTAGCCTGTAGAGCTGTAGAGTATGGTAAACCCCCCGCGTACTTTTTGGCAACTCTTGGGGCTGACGTGGGGGGCAACACCTGGAGCTCTGTGAGGGCTTAGAGGGAGTACTAGCTAGTATGGTGCAGTCGTACCGTACGGTACGGCTACAGTAAACATAAAAGAGAACAGGCCCAAGAGGTGCGCCCAACCCAAAACATCACCTTCTTCTCAAGGTGTGCTTATCAGACCGATTTGGTGCCTGGCTTCCTGGATTACTAGTACCGGCTTACCACTCACCCAAGGCTCCAGGCATTGGTAGACTGCAAATCTTCTCCTGTATATTATTATTAGAATGGAATGAACTGTTGACGCTTGTCCTGCGAGGATGTTGTTGGGTTCTTCCACCACCGGTCAAATCCTCACTTCAGCAGCAATCATGTGGCCAACAGCTAAAGTATCTTGCAAGCTCAGCTTTGGCATCCATGAGGTTCCTGAACGAGCTGGAAGTCGGAAGGCAACGGTTGCTAGGCTGCCTTCAACAAAACTTTTCCACTGAGCCTCAAACAGGACCCTCAATGCTGTTCTTTTTTTGTGCCCTCCTTCCATCAATGCGGTGGGACGTTGCAATCTCTCAAGACGTCGTTTGCCTTTCTCTCTCCTCCTCCATCCAACGGCTTAGCTCCAGTCTTCGGGTGCCCTCATCCCAAACCGCTTATAGTTCCGTCTTGCACCACTCCCCCATGGCGCATTCACCTTTTGGAGCTCAGGATTCCTGACTGCGAATGGCGATTCCTCACAGAAGCCAAGGAAATCTAATTGTGTCCGTAAGCAGCATTCTAGTGAGAATTGCAACCATCCCGGCCCAGGCATGAGGCCAACAGTGCCGAAGGTGATTGGCGATCTGGTTAGCCATTCCGCAGAGGCTACCGGAATCTTGATTGCCATGCAGTACGAGTCCGAGCAGGAGCAGAGATACTAGTACCCTGGGACACGTACAGTATGCTGGTCTTCAGTGAGTTGTCTCTTCCTGGTCTGGCCGAAGTCAGTTACAGCGCTCGACTTGATCAGCCGCTTCTGTAGCTGATGGTGCTGGACCTATCCTTTTGGAGGCAGGGCGCGTTGCTGTAGTGGCGGAGGAATGTGTTTGCTGCGGCAATCGAAATTAGGCGTCAGGACCTCTGTGGAAACGTCATTCGTGGAAAAATACTTAAGAGACGATAAACCGAGGCATAGGAGACGATCGAAATGATTTAAGTGACGAAAGCAATCGTCTCCTATATTTAGGAGACGATTCAGTAGGAGACATTCCAATTAGGAGACGATTGTTTCGAAATAGGAGACAATCCAAAAGAATAAAGAGACGATACCATACAGTTTACGTGGTACACTTAAGAGACGATCCGTTGAGAATAGGAGACGATCCGTTGAAAATAGGAGAGGAGACGAAAGATTTAAGAGAAGATCCGTTTAGGAGACGAAATCAATTAAATAGGAGACGATCAAAAGGATTTAGGAGACGATCCGTAGCAAGACTCGAGTTTCCACAGAGGTCCAGAGGAACGTTCTTGATGGATCTTCGGAGGAGCAAATGAGAAGCCGGTAGCTCGGGGATTGTTTTGTGACGGCGCCTCTCACATTTTGGCCTTTTTCAAGCCTTCGGGGTTCCGATAATGATTGCCGGTCAAATGAGTTGCCAAGGGGATCCTTCGATGATTGAGCACACAAATCAAAACATCTACAAACAAAAATCACCTAAACTAACTAAAACCAAGCCATCATGAAAATCGTCATCATTGGAGGAGTTGCAGGAGGAGCCAGTGCTGCCGCCCGCGCCCGTCGCCATGACGAAAAGGCTGAAATCATTTTGCTTCAATCCGGACCCGACATCAGCTATGCTTCTTGTGGGATGCCCTATTTCATAGGCGGTGAAATCAAAAATCGCCACTCCATGGCCGTTCAGACACCCGCGAGCTTGTACGCCAAGCTCCGTATCGATGTCCGGGTCAACGTCCGCGTTACCGCCATTGACACTGAGAAGAAGGAAATCTCAGGCCACAACGAAAGGACAAGCGACAAATTCTCAGAGAGCTACGATGAACTTATCCTTGCAGTTGGTGCTGCGCCACTAAAGCCACCTATCCCCGGAATTGATTTGCCTAGTCTATTTTCCTTGAGAAACCTAGAGGATATGGACAACATCAACCATTGGATCGCCAAGACACAAGACGAAATTGCCCATCACCACCGTATGCATTGCTACGTGGCCGATGGTGAGAAGATGCATGTTGTCGTGGCAGGTGCAGGCTTTATTGGACTGGAAATGGTGGAGCAACTGCTTCATAGGAATATCCAGGTCAGTTTGGTCGAGATGATGCCACAAATTTTGGGCCCCCTTGATGTTGAAATGGCAAACATCCTCGAACAGGACTTGATCAAACGAGGTGTGAACGTGATCACTGGCGATGGAATCAAGCAGTTCGAGAAAATGGACGAGTGCGGTGACGTTGTCGTGCATTTGGCTTCGGGAAAGAAGTTGCCAGCCGCTCAAATGACAATTCTCGGCTTGGGAGTTCGACCCGATACCGCGATTGTGCGCGAAGCTGGAATTGCTTGCACAAAGAGAGGCCACATCATTGTCGATGAATACCTCAAGACGAATACTGAGCATGTCTGGGCTGTTGGAGACGCGGTGGAGGTGAAGAACCCCATTGTTGGAGGCCAGTGGGCTGTGCCGCTCGCTGGTCCAGCCAATCGTCAGGGTCGCATGGCAGCCGACAACATCTATGGAAAGAACCGCAAGTTCAAGGGAACTTACGCGGCCGCAGTTGTGCGCTCCTTTGACTTGATAGCTGCTGCTGTTGGAATGAACGAGAAAATGCTTCGGGCCCAGAGACTGCCGTACAATGTGGTTCATGTCCACCCGGGAAGCCATGCTGGATACTATCCTGGAGCCAAGAGTATCAACTTGAAGGTGCTCTTCAATCCAGAGGACGGAAAGATCTACGGAGCCCAGGCTGTCGGGGAAGATGGCGTAGAGAAACGCATTGACGTGATTTCCACCGCCATGCAAGGCGGCTTGACGGCAGAAGATTTGGCAGAGCTGGAACTCTGTTATGCTCCACCCGTTGGATCGGCCAAAGACCCAGTTAATATTGCCGGTATGGCAGCACAGAACATCATGGACGGTTTCGTGAAGCAGATCCAATGGGACCAACTTGAGGATGCACAGAACGATCCCGACACGGTTATCCTGGATGTTCGCAACCCGGGCGAAGTTACTGCGGGTGAGTTGGTCAACGGTGCCCTTCAGATCCCGCTTCCTGAATTGCGTGATCGCCTGGGCGAGGTGCCTACCGACAAGAAGATTGTGGTGTCGTGTGCCTCCGGGCAACGAGCGTACTATGCCTGCCGCATTCTCCAGCAGACTCCTGGTTTGGAAGGCAAGGTGTTCAACCTCAGTGGGGCATTCAAGACGTTCAAGACGACCCCAACGTTCCTCTCTCGTAGCTAGACATGCCGGCCAGCCAGCTCATGGCGACGGTACAAGCAACGCTTTATTGTGCATGGACTAATTGATAAAATCGTCACGAGATGAGAGACCAACTCATTCTTCAGAAGCTGCATTCGAGGAAAACGTAAATCCTGAACTGACATATTTGATAGCAACAAGTAACAATATGCAATAGATGGAAACTATTTCAATGACTCCTACTGGAAACGTGTTTTGGGTTCTCCAGAGCCAAGGCTGCCGTACCGGTATGTGCCGCGACCACGACCATTTGTGGCATTGGACAGGTGTTCCTGTTGAGCCGACATCGCCGTTAAACCCCAAGGACCAGCAATATGGTCCAAGCAGTCACCAGATTTGTGGCTGTGGGGACATCGACATGAGTTTGCCTACTAGTACCGCACTAGCTAGTCGTTTCGGCAGAAATTCGACGGCTCAAGGTGTCGACCGCCACACAAACAAACCCAAGAAGAAGAAGAACCAATGCGACTGCAAAGCACATCTCACGGACTGTTACCGTACGTGCAACCTCGCACCGCCATATTCACGACTTTTGCCAATTTGGCAACCAAATCCAGCAAGAAACCAAAGTTTGTTGTGTGCAAAAAGAAATGAACCAGGTTTCATGAGGCAGCCCGAAAAGTCTTGTCGCTGTTTCCCCCTTAATTTTCTTTGTGAAATACTTCCTTGAGCATCCACCTGACACAGAAACAGCATCATTGAATGGTCAAATAACTCCTCAATTGAAACACTCTTTCCCTTCCTCCCCACTGTACCAACAATTGCTTCATGCCTTTTTGAGAAGACTTTCGGCATCTGTTTTTCTCTTTTTGGCCAATCTTAGATTTTCCTCTGCTTCCTTGAGTTGCGCCTGCTGCGATGCAATGGAACTCGTGAGTTGTTGGATTTGATCTTGATACTGCTGTATGGCGGTTGCTTCGGTAGTGACACTTCGTCGGGCGCGACTTTTTCGAGAGCATGTTTGTACGTGGTCTTCGACACACTCGGTGCACAGCGTAATCTCATCTTCGCACGCTTTGCAGCCCGGATATGCCAGACACTTTTCGCAAATTTTTTCTTTGCAAACGTCGCATTGAGCCAATAAACATTCGTCGCAATACAGAATGCCACAAGCGCCACAGGATCCACCCGCACTGTCGTCCACTTGTTCGCCACAGGATGGACACGGAAAACTCTCGTCGTCCTCTTCTTCTTCTCGTTGACGCTTGACACCAGACATGTTGCTTGCAGGGGGTACAGCTAGTTGTGTTGGACGGGTGTGGGTGAGGGTTGCTGTTTTAGTTGGTGGTTCGCAGGTTCGCGACAAAAGATCTCTTTTGAGGAAGCACGTCTCAAGGTCAGACGGACACCTTTAGAGGAAGCCAGAAGATCTGCGTGGTTTGGTTTGGATCTTCGCCTCCCTCATTATTTTGTTTGTTTCGTCTTGTTGCTTCTTCCAAAGGTCAACAATCAACACCCGCCCACAAAACCAAGTCTCTCACTCCATTATTTGTTGTACTAGACTAGTAAGATATCTTGTTCTTTCCAACACAACGCAAACACCACCATGATGAAACTCTACGCCATGCCTCGTTCTGGAAACTGCTACAAGGTAGCCTGGATGTTGCGACTTCTCAAGGTACCCCACCAGATTGTCACCACCTCCATTCTCGACGGATCCACCAAGAGTCCAGCCTTTATGGACAAGAATCCCAATGGTCAAGTCCCTCTCTTGGAATTGGAGGATGGAAGATTCTTGGCAGAATCTGGTGCCATGCTGTTGTACTTGGCTGAAACACAAAAGTCGTTTCTTCCACCCACAGACGACCCTTTTCAACGCGCCAAGGTCTTTGAGTGGATGTTCTTTGAACAGTACTCGCACGAACCATCCATTGCCGTGCGACGGGCCAATGTCATTTTTCAACGTCCTTGTGATGACGCCAAAATGAAACAGCTCTTGGACAAGGGACACCACGCGCTGGGTGTCATGGAACGGCAATTGGCCACAACACCCTTTTTGACCGGTCCTGATTTCTCCGTGGCGGATATTGCCTTGTATGCCTACACCCACGTTGCGGCAGAAGGGGAATTTGAATTGACCCGATTCCCTCATGTCCAGACTTGGTTGCAGCGCATTCAGGGTATGCCTGGTTATGTGGATATGGACAGTTGCTTGCAAGAGGAAACCCCTACTGACTAGCGATGACGAAGAATGGCAGCAAGCAAGCAAGTATGCTTTCCAATTTGGTACTGGCCACCATGGTGGATTAGATCGTTAGGATTCTGGAACTTCCCAGCAAGTTAGGTGGTACTAGTACTTGTAGAATTCTAGTCTAGCTAGTTATCAAGAGTAAAACTAGTTAATTCAGTCACTTTTTGCTAAAATCGTATGATAGAGTTAAAAAATCCAAGGGGCGGAATGTCAACCTTTCATTGCATCTTGCCTCTACCGGTAGGAGCACCGTCTGAGTCATCAAAATGAAGAGAGAGAGAGCCCAGATCGAGGCGTGGATGGTGCAGGGGGGCAATAGGTTGCAGCTTCTTCACGGCCGTGGCTACCATAATGTATTAATAGATGCAAGACATCACGGAGCGCCCTCGTCGCTCATCAACTGATGAGACTCGGAAACGTACGGTAAGAGTCCTACTCAACCATGTAGTGGGGGGACTAAGGAAGGTTCAACTTTGGGAAGGACCAACTTTGGGAAGTTCTTCCACTACTACAGACCGGTACATGTAGACAAAGGCGGTAGTACCGGTATGGAACAAGGGAACAGTGAGATGACTATGCAAGCGTCTGTGGGGGGAGAGATTCAATCTTTCATGGTGGACATGGGAACTGGTCCCTGCGACCAAGGTTGGGAAATTGAGTGGACTTGGTCAATACACGGAGCAGGCAGGCAAGACGAGAATTGGTTCAAACGGTACATCGTAGGGGGAAGTGATGACTGAAGACCTCGTCTCCCGTACAAAACTGGTCTGGCCGTCCTTTAGCAAAGCATCATGTAGCCAGTCCACTTTTCCACACCACAGCACAAGGATGATATCATGGAGCCCACCCCCTATAGCGGTATCTCACAGGGCGCTTCGTGCAACAGCGACGTTGCTTCGGCAACAATACTCCATAGAAGGATCTCTTTGTCTTTTATCATTTCATGTATTCATGCAATTAATTCTTTTTGTCTAAGAGTGCGTGGTTTCCCACCGCAACCAGCATCCACACCTGCTCCAATCACTCAGCTTAGAAAGTTCATTTACAACCACGCCAAGCGCCACGCAGGTAGGTCACGAGTCCTTGGCAACAACCACCAAGCCGTTCTGCCGGAGCGAGAAGAGCCTGTGAGGAGCCACGAATGCAAGGAAAGCAGCCTGTTCACATATATAAATTATGCAGACAGACCTTGGAGCAACCCCTTTTTGTTCTTGTTGTTGTTCTTTTTCTTGCCCTTCTTCGCTCCTCCCTTGTTGGCATCTCGGACGAGTTGCTTGACGGCATTGGTTCCCGACATGTAGGCTCCTTGGCAGGTTCCAAAATACTGTAAATGACAATGTTCCCCGGCAAAGTAGAGCTTTTTGTTGACTCCCTCGGCAATGCGAGAGTGATCGGACTGATTTCCACCCACGGCATTGAAGGAATAGGATCCATACGTGAATTCATCGTCACCCCATCGAGTGATAATGACTTGTTTGGGTTCCGGAATTTCCGTGTCGCAAAACATCTTTTTCAATGCGTCAAACGCAGAATCTCGAATTTCCTGATCTGACAATTCCTCCACTTGTTCGGCAATCCGTCCTACGGTGAATCCACACAACACGGGTCGTCCATTGATGGGTTGATAATTGACAAATTCCGTCCACAATCCTTGTGGTTGTTTGGGATCCTTGCCGGTAACCATGCGTTCGATCCATTCCTTATCGGCCGGCCATGGCAAGTTGTCGGCATCGGAATCCTCCCAAATAAAGATGCACTTGTTGAGGACTCCATTTCCCATTCGCGTAATGGCGCGTTGTTTGTCGTGTGGCAAATCGGGTGTGAATTGAATGATATTCTTTTGAAGGACGCCCAGTGGGACCGTGACAATGACTTTTTTAGCAGTGATGGTTTGGACAGCGCCATCGTCCTGTGTGTATGTGACGACGACCCGGTCCTGGTGACTGTAGTCAATGGCGGTGACTTTGCTGTTGTATTGAATATTTTGGGAAAAGTCTTTGGTGAAATGTTCCAGGACCGCCTTGTATCCGCCATGAATGTCTTGTGTGAGGTAGACATCTCCTCCTTTCATTCTAATAACAAATAAACAATGTATCAAATCAGCACACAAAAAACACAGACACATGATGGTAGGTACAGTAGGCAACTTACTCTTCATCGGAATCCCACCAGAACATGGACAAGTCTTCCAGCGACGCAGCATATTCTTGCGCCGTGTTGCAGTCCAACAAGTACCACATCCAGAGCCGCTGTTCGTCGGTAGCATCAATCTTGTCCAAAAAGTCTTCAGCGGCTTGTCGCAAGGAACAATCCTTATTGTCTTTATCCTGTCGTCGTTCTTGATAGGCCCAAAAGCCTCCCTTGCCTTCCATCAAATAGTCTTCCATCCATTTCATGCGTTCTTCCGACGCTTCCGTGGTTGGTTTGTCGACATGATCTTGTAGAATGATTTGACTGTTGTAATCCGAACGGGCCATTTCGACACCGGCATCCAGTGCCGCCTGGTAAATGGGATTCTTGGCCTGGACGCCGTGAACCCATTGCGGACCATATTCAATGGCCGTCACTCCATCCTCCGCAACACCCGTACGACAACGACCTCCCATGACCGGACGACCTTCCAGAATTTTGGCTTGGATGCCTTGGTTAACAAGTAAGTCCTTGGCGGCGCTCAATCCCGCCCAGCCGGCGCCGATAATCACCACTGGTCCAATAGTATTGTTGTTGTTGTCATTGTCACCATTCTTCTTCTGATTTCCTACTGGACTCATACTGATAGCTGCTCCTTCTGCTAAAGTCTCTTCTGTCTGTGCTTGTTTGTGGAAGTGTTTGTTTGTTACGTGAGCGCTGCTCTTGGGTGTTGTGCTGGGTTGGGTTGTTTTATGAGCAGTCTTTTTGGCAAGTAGTGCCTGTCATACCAGATGCAGAAATTATTGTGATGTATGTATTCGTGGTGCTGATGATGTGCCAATGACGCCAGGTGTCGTGCACATGCAAACCCAATCGCCAATCGACAATTTTTGCGGTGCCGCGATTCAAACCGAACCTGTATGCACGATTCGACGTCTTCCATTATTATCCAGGCAGTTCATTGAAAGGGCCCGAAATCAGGATTTTAAGAATCCAATTAAATTGATCAATTCCAAACCTAAATATAAAACCGAAACCTAAATATAAAACCGAAACCTAAATATAAAACCGAAACCAAATTACTATGGTAAATAACTAGTAAAATCAAGCCGAAACCTAAATATAAAATCGAAACCTAAATATAAAATCGAAACCCAAATATAAAATCGAAACCCAAGTATGAAGCAGAATTACTTGTAATTGCGATTTCGGGCCCTTTCTTTGTCTTTACGTTACGGTACAGTACGGTACGGGCGGAGTCGAGTGACTCAGTCGAGTGACAGTCGAGACCATGTCTTTCTTGCTGGTTGACAGCAACGCCATCAACTCTCTGTTTCTTGTGGCTGGAGCAGGTTTCAATTCCATTCCATTCCATCATGCTGTTCTGCTGAGGAGCAGCACTCCAGTGAAGCAAGTTGGCGAATGTTCTAGCTAGCTGAAAAGCCCCCTCATCCTCACCACGCCCGAGCAAAAACCAAGCCGCACTCGGAAAGGAGGTCCCCCTTCACGACTATCGTATGAGTAAGTGAGTTGAGTTCAGGAGCACCGTGTGTTGTTTGCTAGTAATACTGCAGCTTATTGGGGAGTAATTTGGTTTTAGATTAAGCTGAAAAGCAAAAATCAAAAGTGAGGATTTTCTGGTGGTGCATAGCAATTCTTGTGATTGAATTGGATATAAGGACCCCCGTAACACTTTAGACTAAAACTCCTTCGGTTCCTTGCATGATGAATTATGCATAGATGATTAATACACGAGTTAGTCAATAGTAAAGAGTTCAGAGTATGTTTCCTACCAATACACACCTGCACGGTGACCTAAGTGGCTACACGTGGCAAAATAAAATAAATTAGGCAAAAAAACAAGAGGTGGATGCCCATGATGAAAGACCTGTGTCATGGAAGAGCTTGCCCTGAAGAGGGATTCGTGAAAAAATCTCACGAATCTCCAAGGTTGGGCAGTACACAACTCTAAGGTTGCCTTTCAATCTGGTCATGATGAAAAAAATCAGAATGTTGATGCCCGATTCCTCTTTCCTGAATGCTTTGCCATCTCTGCAAGATGATTGTGTATGTTGTCCTGCATGAGGTGTGTCTCACAACTATCACCTGCCTCTAAGGAACAACTTTGCCACAGATGGCGACATGACTTCGTCAGCTCAATCAATATTCGCTTCCCGTGCTGCCCTGAATTCAATTTTGTGTCGGCAGACAAGACCGAGCACCGCATTCAAAGGACATACTGCTCCTGTATGGGAACAGAATCAGTATGGATGCAAATGTAGCGTCCACCCACCAAGTTATGATGCTTATGTCATCAATGTGTATGATAAGCTTGTCCTGCGCAGTCTGATCCAGAAACTTGAGTCCTTGGACCTACTTGTCCCAATCATCAGGTGTTGGGCTTTTGACACGATTGCATAACACAGTAGTTAGAGTCTGCACATCTGGTTGAGCACGCTTGCACAGGAACCACAGCTTGGCTGCAAAGGTATGAAAGGTTTCCTGTTTCCTGTCTTCGGATGGTGCATTCCCGAGCTTGATAGGTCGCGGGGCTTGCACGGACCTTCTATTGCCAAGTCTGGAACTTTGAGACCATCTTCTTGATGTATTCTATCATTCGATGATACCTTTCCTGGGTTGAAGTCCACTGTCATCCCCAAGTACTCATGCTTGGGACCACGGGTAGCCTTAACGGCTCCATAGGTTACCGTTACTTGTCATTTAGAACCCATCAGGGTTCAATTGTTTACCAGTTTCATACGGTGGCTCGACATCAGTTCGTCCACATGGAAGCGTTTCGTCTGCTGATATCCTTAAATCATCCGTTGGCACACACGGCATGACTACTGGTTGAATCACGAATACGTTCCCTCGAAGGTCGCTCTGAAGAGCTATGTACCAGAGTCAATTCTGCCAACATTCGTAGTGGCTCTTTCCACACGACGTAGAGGACTGGTCCGTCCCATCTTGTATGTCAGGAAAGAGATATGTGTCAGGATCATTTCGCAAGAAATCTGCAGGGTTCCCTACATGATCATGGAGGACCCTGTCTTCACTTTGTTTGATTCTGGGCATAGGTGGTTTGGTGAACGATGGGAACATCCAGGACTCATCCCTATTTCGGTGCATCGCACAATGGATACATCAAACCACTCAGTGAAACTGTTGGACTTCTGGCTCTTCTTTTGATGGTACACTTGTAGGTTTCCCTGTGATGCTCGGGCTGTGACGTTGCAATCCCTTTCTTCACTCACAAACATGAGTGCCTTTTGTGCGCTTTTTCAATTAAGATCACTGCATTTGTTTGGTGTCGACTGTGACTTGAAACACTCTTGTGTGTAGCTGGTCTCTCTTTGAGCGCGCCTTTCTGGCTTTGGTTGCCCACAGCATTTCAGACCCTTGAGTAGAGTGTGTTGTGCATGGCTGCTCTCATCCTGACTTCTCTGTGGCACTCCTGTTATTTACAGGAGTCCATGAACAAGCTTGATGTTTGCTTGTCTCTTTCTCAACAGTTGGTGTTTCGCTTCGTCTTCTTGGACTGAAGGGTGACTCTTTCTTTGCTTCGGCTTGTCGCATCGAGTGAACGTCTAATTCCAACTCGGGGAAGCTTGTGAAGCCTTGGTGGTCCACGAGGTTTCCATCATGGTTCATGACTTGGTGCGTTTCTTTCATGTTAGGTTGTTGGCTTTGTGCTTGTTGGGATTCCTTGGATCCCTCTTTCTTCTTCATCGGTAGTCATGTCGTTGTGGCATCTGTTTTTGGATGGCCTTGGTATAGCCTGGGTCCTCCATCAGATTTTCTATCTGTTCCGTGGATTCCACTGAATCTTCGTCGAAGAGTCTCATAGACTTGTGAGTAGCTTTCATTTCCATTGACCTCCACTCCTCTAGGCAAACCTCAGGTAAATATTCCAACAGTACCGGTTGTGAAAGATTGTTGGTTTCTTACCCTCACCGTATGCCTTCTTTTCGACAGCATCAATAGACTGAGCGAGGCATCGGCAAAATCGGAATGCTGTCGCGACGTATGACCTACAAAGGTGACGGGTCCATCACACTGATGCACCACCTTGGTGGTTGTCCATCACAATGGACGGAGATAGATGAAATCCAACGCCTGGGGCTCCTTGAATTGAGCTTTCTGGTTCGTTGGAAGCGAGACAAAAGCTCCCAAAATTGTACTGATATCTTTGTGTTGTGGTCGACCTCCAAGATCTGCCTGGGAGGATCAACTTTAGAGATTCCATAAAGCGCTGGGAAGAGGTTTGGTTTACAATTACATCATAGCACCAATTCCACAATTATCACCTTTGGCATCACCATGAACGGGGTTGAATGCCTGGCTGCGGGTGTCGTCTGTGTCAGGTGTCGGATGTTGCGCTCGGCGGGACCATGTGAGTCTGAGCGCTCCATGGTTGAGCTTGGCTCCATGTCGTTCTTGAAAGGATCCATCAGTCTACTTGAACTCCAGGTCACATGTATTCTTGGTTCTTGAAATCATTATTTCCTTACCGATCAAAATCTTGTCAATGTGCGGCATAGAATGATTTTCCTTCCTGTTGGTCAGTAGGACTGATTCACGGTGCTGGATTTGCAAGTCAGTGAATGCAGAAAGGCAATCTCTCAGACATAAAACAAATCCATAGCATCCGGTCAGGAACCAGTGTGGTGCCACCAGCTACATCCGACAGTATGAATCACTGTCAGTACTGGTGGTGGGCCTCTGCGTGTAGTAGAGCCTTGGCTTGCCCATGCCGATGCCGAAAATTAATTGGCACGATCAATGTCCTCAGCTTACGAGGACGTCGTCGTATTGGCCAGTCCTGAATCATGTTGCGGTATCCCTCCAAGATTGGGCGCTGGGTTGTGGTACAGGATTTCTTTGCGAGAATGACCCTGTGCTTGTTCTTGGTAAACCTTCGAGTTGCCCTCCACCGTCATGGACCAAAATGCTGTAACTCCGGTAAAGCTGTTGAGTTGGGCCATGTGATCAGCAGGTCTTGCTCAATTCACACGCCATACAGACTTTGGCGGTCTTTCCATACTGGTATGGATCCCAGTTGAGGCGGTAGTGGTAGATGGCGTCGTCGACTCTTGGCCTTGGGGCCTGGATCCATCCTGTTCCCTGACTCAGTCATCCACAACAAGATACAAAGCGTTGATGTTGGTGATGCCTCCTGGATTGGAGTAACCATTGCCGTAAGGTTGGTCTCCTTCTTTGGGTAGAGCTGTGCTTCCCTTGTGCATCTCGGTTTGGTTGGGGGATGCCAAACCGGCTTGGACTCTTTGGTTTGACGTTCGGATGTTGCACTGTCGAGTACCTGTGTTGGCTCTCAGGATGGGTTCTTGCGATTCAGGCCAGTTTGGCTACTGCATTGTGGGTTCGGACCTGCTCTGGGAACTCAGCAATGGTGGTTCTTGTTTTCGATGGTGTGGTTTGGTTAATGGATCTTAATCACCGTTGCTCGTGTTTCTCCGCCTTTT